CCTTGTAGGTTATTTCTTTCCCGTGGCTACCTTTAATATTCTTTCTTTGTCATTGACTTTTGACAGTTTTATTATCACGTGTCTTGGACAAGGTCTTTTTGCATTGAGATAATTGAGTATTCTTTTAGCTTCATGTACTTGTATATCTAGTTACTTCCCCCAGGTTTTGGAAGTTCTCAGGTATTATTTCTTTAGGTAAGCTCTCCACTGCCTTCTTTCTCTGTTCTCATTCTGGAATACCCATTATCCTTATGTTGTCCTTTCAAATGGAGTAGGATATTTCTTTTAGAATTTCTACTGTAAAAAAAAATCTTAGTTCTTTCTCCTCTTATACCGTGATGACTTTAGATACAACACCAAAGGCACAATCTGTGAAAGAAATAATTGATATGTTGGATTTCATTAAAATTTAAATTCTGATCTTGGTCATCATCATGGTGGTGTGAGAGGATCTCTTTGTCTCTCCCCTTCAATCCACAGCAAGTAAAACATCCATAACCCAACAAAGGCTACATTGCCCAACACACCAGGACACCAGAGAGATCCACCCATTGGTACAATCAAACGTGGGTGGATTGGAGCACATAGAGGGGGCTAAATAGGGAAACAGCAGAGGCTGAGCCCAGGGCCCTGGATGCCCAACCACAGAAGCTGAGCCATCCACCCTCACCCCCAGAGAACCCTCTGGGCACCAACAGAGGCAGGCCTGTGACTCCAGCCAGCCGCAGCAGCACCTGCAGCCACAGGGAGTGGAACAGCAGCAGAGGCAGAGCCCTGTAATCCTAGGCCTTCTGGCCACAGCTCAGAGGCTGACAGCAGGGAGACATGCACAGAACTCCAACATCCCAACCACAGCAGCACCTGCAGCAAGAAGATAATGGGCAACAGCTGAGACAGTGCCCTGCACACCTTGCTCCCTCCCTCTCTTCCCCCTCCCCCCACCACTATGGTGAAGCTTTCGACCCAGGTGATCCTGGAAGCAGCAGAGGTATCAGCCATTCCTGTACCCCGGCTGGAGAAGCCAGTGACCACAGCAACACTGGCAACAGCAAGGTATTAGTGACCCCCAGAGGTGCAGACTATGAGGACAACAGTACCAGTGACCCCCACCCCAAATAGATGCAGTGGAGGGTGAGTCGTGCAGATCCTCAAATATATCCAGAGGCAGGTCAGGTAAGAGAAACCAAAAACTAGTGCTGTAGTGGCACCTACTGAAAAACTTAAGAAAAGCCTCTAATAAGTTGGAATCAAAACAAAGCTATACCCAAATAAGAAAGGTGTTTGCTACAACAAATGCACCAGCAGAGGACAAACTCAGCAACTGCCACGAAAAGCCTCAGTAACATGCCATCACAAAAAGAAAATAAAAATTCTCCAGAAACCAAACATAAAGTCATGGAAGATTGTGATCTAACTGATAAAGAATTCAAAACAGCTGTCATGAAGAAACAATGAGCTACAAGAAAATTCAGAAAGGCAATTCAATGAGCTCAGGAATAAAATCAATGAACAGAAGGAGTACTTCACCAAAGAGATTGAAACTCCAAAAAAGGACCAAACAGAAATTCTAGAGCTGAAGAACTCAATAAATGAGATGAAGAATAAAGTAGAAAACTTTGGAAATAGCACAGATCATATGGAAGAGAGAATTAGCAAGGTTGAAATGATTCTGGTATAAGAGGAGAAAGAACTAAGATTTTTTTTTACAGTAGAAATTCTAAAAGAAATATCCAACTCCATTTGAAAGGACAACATAAGGATAATGGGTATTCCAGAATGAGAACAGAGAAAGAAGGCAGTGGAGAGCTTACCTAAAGAAATAATACCTGAGAACTTCCAAAACTTGGGGGAAGTAACTGGATATACAAGTACATGAAGCTAAAAGAATACTCAATTATCTCAATGCAAAAAGACCTTGTCCAAGACACGTGATAATAAAACTGTCAAAAGTCAATGACAAAGAAAGAATATTAAAGGTAGCCACGGGAAAGAAATAACCTACAAGGAAACCCCCATTAGACTATCAGCAGATTTCTCAGGCCAGGAGAGAGTGGAATGATATATTCAAAAATATTGAAAGACAAAATCTCTCAGCCAAGAATACTCTACCCAGCAAAGTTATCCTTTGGATATAAAGGAGAAATAAAGGCTTTCCTAGACAATCAAAAGCTGAGGGAGTTCACTGTCTTTAAGGCTGCCAAAGAGCTGAGCAGTGGAGGATGGTAACATGGTAACCTAAAATGCCACAAGGCTCTCTTACTGAAATTCAGCAGTTTTTTTCTTCATTAAGTATTCCCCTGGATATTGTAAATTTTTGGTTAGATTCTGCATTGCGGGTGCAGGTTGCTGCCAGAGGATATGATATGGACCTTATTCTCAAACAACTGTGGTTGTGTGCTTTGATCTGGTAGCACCCTGAAGGATTAGCTCAAGGATTTGCCTTTTTTTCACCTACTTTGGAGCTTTCCCAGAACTGAGGGAAACAGCTAACAATCCATAAAAGAAAAAAATGATAAATTGGACCTAATCAAAATTCAAAGCCTTTTCCCTTCAAAAGACACCATTAAGAAAATAAAAAGACAAGCCACAGACTGGGAGAAAATATTTTCAAATCATATACCTGATAAAGGACTTGTAACCAAAATATATAAAGAACTCTTACATCTCAATAATAAGAAGGGAAACAACCTAACTGAAAAATGGGCAAAATATTTAATAGACATTTCTCCAAATCAGATATACAAATGGCCAACGAGCAGATGAAAAGATGTTCAATATCATTAGCGATTAGGGAAATGCAAATCCAAACCACAATGAGATATTACTATCTATAGCTATAATATAATTTTTTAAAAAGGAAAAATAACAAGTGTTGGTGGGGATGAGGAGAAATTAGAACTCTCATACATTGCTGGTGGTGCATGTAAATGTAATAAATGTAAAATGGTGTAGCCCCTTTGGAAAACACTTTGGCAAAAGATTAAACATACCATTACAACAGGACCCAGCAATTCCACTCTTAGGTATCTACCCCAGAGAACTTAAAATATATGTCCACCCAAAAACTGGTATATGAATGTACATAGCAGCCTTATTCACAAGAGCCAAAAGGTGGAACTAACCCACATGTCCATAAACTGATGAATGGATAAATAAAATGTGGTATATACATACAGTGGATCATTATTCAGCCATCAAAAGGAATGAAACACTAATATGTGCCACAACATGAATAAACCTTGAAAACATCATGCTAAGTAAAAGAAGCAAGTCACAAAAGACCACATATTGTATAATTCCATTTATATGAAATGTCTAGAATAGGCAAATCCATAGGCACAGAAAGTAGATTAATGATTGCTTGATGTGGGGGGTGGCAACAAGGATTAACTGCAAATGGGCAAGGGAGAGGTCACTGGAGTCATGGAAATGTCTAAAATTGGACTCTGGTGATGGTTGCACCACTCGATAAATTTACTAAAAAATCTTGAAGTGTACACTTAAAATGGGTCAGTTTTATGGGATGTAAATTTTGTCTCAACACAAAATTTTAAAGACACTCTGGGAAGCAGAGAAAAAAAAGAAAGCTCATATCTTTGGCAACTTATTAGGTATCATACAGAGCTCATGAGGCTGTTGTATGTTGTTGTTGTTGTTGCTGTGGTGACAGTAGGAGTGGTGGTTTGCCCATGAGGGCTGAGGGTCAAGCAATGATGCTGGTATTTTAAAATAAAAATTTAAAAATCAATAAAACAGAATGTTGTTGGCTTGAAATTTGGAGTAGCAGTGGGGCAAAGATAAGTGGATGGGTTTAAAAATACTTAGGATGCAGAATTGACAAGATTTTGTGCTGAGTAGATATAGGGAATGGGGAAGAGTGAGGATGTCTCAGACTTGGCATGCTTACAGTTGAATTCCTGTTGTCCTCCCAAAGTTACTGTCCTCCTGTGCCGCTAATCTCAGTGAGTTGGATCAGCATCCCGGCACAGAGTAAGCATTCATTGATTGTCTTTGGAGTGAAAGAATGAGTGAACAGAGTGAAAATGTGGCCAAACAAAGCATTCACCAGGTCCTGCCAAACAGCCAGTCCTAAACTCACCCTCAAGGTTGGCTCAGCAGATGTCTATCACAATTTCCCGCTCACTTTATCGACCATTTGGGAAATCATCAGGTCCCATGCCCAGGAGAACACCCACCTTCATATCAGCCACACCTTGCCTAGAACCTGCAGGTGTGGCACAGACCAGGTTTTGCCAAGAGCCTCTTATCCTGCAAATTCTTTACGTGAGGGCAATGGCAGGTGCATGTACAGCATCGGGGACTGTTTTGGTGTTGTAGAAAGAGGGTCACGATGGTGCCCAACTGGTAGATCTATGTTCACTTTGGCTCCAGGCAGAAAGAGACTCTTCCCACCAAAGAGATTTATTAATCCAGGGACCTCCCTCCCCAGTCCTGACAGGCAGAAAACACAGCCGCCAGAAACACTGCAGATACCGAGTGATCAGTTTGGATATTTTACTGCTGTTCCCAGGGTTGACAAGCAGAGTCACGCAACTGCTTGTGTTTCCTGATATAGATACCAAAACCAGGAAGTGATCTGTCCCAGTCCACACTTCCCAGAAATAAAGAATGACGTGGGACACGCAAAAGATGCCCCCAGACTCAGGCAAACCAGCAAACATTCCCTGGTTATGGAAGAGAAGTGAAATTTGCAACCCAGAAGGGAAATCTGGCTGTGTGAGCAGTAGAATTGAGGGTGGAGACATTTGATGAAGTATACTTTTTTAAACCTCTGTTTAGATAGTATCATTAGATAAACATCCTTTTCAATGATAAAACCCAAGTCATTTCTGGCCCTTTTCCTGGAAGAGCTTTTTGCTGCCGTCAGTTTATAAGAACAGCAATAAGAGGCCATTTTCTGGGCATGGAGCCCAGGATTCAAAAGGAGGCTCTAGAGAACATCTGGTCTGCTTGATATATAGAAGCCAGCATTGCATGTGTGTGTTTGTGTGTATGTGTTTCTCCCATGCTGACTCATGGCATTGAAGCCTCTCTGGAAACACCCCCACCACTCTAGCCAGCCAATTTATACACACCCCTTCGGCTCCTCCTTGATTCAAATGTTAGGTCAAGAGGAAGAAGGAAACTGAATTCAAGAGCTGCTCTCAAGCATCTAGAATTCTCTGTACCTCACCTTTTGAGAAGAGAGACTGGCCCCAGCTCTGCCTCAGTCCACTGCAAGCTGGGCTCTCCTCTTAAAGCACCAACTTTATTTGAGCCTTTGGATAAAACTGAAAGAAAAGAGTCCACGAGTACTGTGGATTGTGCAGGAGGCAGGGGGCTGACAACTGGCAGTATAAACAGAAAGATGGCAGGCCCGATGCCCAGCATTGAAACAGACCCTGAAATTGAGCTTTTCGTGAAGGTAAGTCTTCTAGTTATAATAACAGCATATAGAATGTATTATTTCTTGACACTGGACCTCAGCTTCTTAAAAAATAGTCAACATTTGGGCTAGAGATAGGAAATAATTTTGTAGTTGTATTCCTACTCTGAGTCCTATAAGGATGCCTAGGTGTTTGGTTGCTCTTAGATGACAATAGGAAAACATCTCATCTGAAAAAGGCAAAGAGATATGGTGAAAAGAGCTCTAGACTGGTTGGTAGTCAGAGCAACTAAACTGTATTCTTAGTGGCTTCCTAAGTAACCTTGAACAAATCCTTCCCTCTCTCTGCACCTTTGTTTCTCCATCTATACAATGAAAGAGACTGACAAATGGTCCTTGAGGGCTCTCCAGCTCTCGCAATCTGTGTTTTATGAGGGAGGTTTTGGAAGGCCTGAATGGGGTGAAAAGAGGGCCAAGAATGGCCTGATAGCCCCATTCCCACACATAGCCCAGACAGAGCTTTCTAAAATTCTCCCACAATGGACGAACATCACAGCAGGGGCAGATGGACACTAGGGGAGAAAAAAGCCAGGAGTTTGTGTACCTTTTATACGAGGAGGAGGCATTTTAGAATGCTGCACTTCCTCTTTATGGTCTGCCTTGGGTTGTTTTTTTTTTATATCTTAACTTTTCAGAAAAGCCCTTTGGAAAACCCCTAAGGCAGGAGAAAGGAACATGTGTTTCTAAATTAGCTCATCAAGAAAAATGAATAATTTTGTGTGGGTTATTCCAAGTAGAAATTACATAGTTTTCTAAATCCTTGTTCATACTAATTATTTTTTCTCTATATTTTCATTGACTATTGGAAGTACTCAGGAAGATAATAATAATAATAAAAATATCTTGCTTGAGCCTTTTCTAAACACTTTACATATATTATCTCATTTAATCCTAATAACAATTTAGGAGATAGGTTACTAGTAGTATCAGCAGTAGTAGTGGCAGCAGTACACATCATTGTAATTTTTAGATAAGCAACCGAAGGCAATAAAGTTTAAGTAACTTGCCTCTAAAACTATATAGCCTCTTGACAACTTACAAAGACATAAAATAAGGTATGCTTACCAAATTTTAGGTTAAACATCTGTTAGCTGAAGTAATACTTTTATAATTATTTAAAAATATTTAACTGGTCACATATATACAGCAAGAACATAATCAACCTGCCTTTGCAAAATTATAGGAGAGAGATCCTTGTATGCCTGCATAGCAAAGTAATCCAAATAAGTGTTTGCTGGACTATGGGGCATAAGAGCTACTTCTCCTATCTCTGGATTCTAGAAAAACATGTGACTGCTCAGACGTGATATAAATAAGACTTAATTTCCTAACTGGCCTTTTACATCTACCAATTCTAGACCAGAGATAATGTCTCTTCATAGGGTAACTAAAGTGTTTCATTTGTCTAAACTATTCATTCAATCCAATCAAACTCCTGTAACCAGTTGTTGGCATTGATCTGTGTGTTTATATTCATAGACTTCCCATATTTGGGTGGTAATCTGGACAGGAGAAGTTAGCAAATCAAACATTGGATGAGGAAATGTTTAATTAAATAATAACTTTCAGGTTAAAATAATTAATCATTTATTGAGTACTGCTGTGTGGCAGGCACTGTGTTAAGAGGTTCATTATTAACTCTATTTTATGGATGCAGAAACTAAAGCAAAGAGTAGCTGAGTAACTTTGTCCAAGGTCACATAGCTAGTGAATGGCAGGGTTAGGATTCCAATCCTCTAAAATAGCTATGTCTACTATTATTCAATTGTTTTCAGTTTGGCAAACATTTTAGGAAAATTTTCCAGAATTTCATCGGGTAGAATCCTTTAGATGTAAGCTTATCTAATGACACTGATACAATTTACAGATTTTCTGGAAGAACCTTGAGTATCATCTGGTCCAGGTTTTTGTTTTGCTTTGCTTTAAGACGTGTTCCACAGATCTCTACAAGTTTCATATAAAATACTGGGAGGGGGCATAGGGATTGAGAGAGGTGAAAAATGTTAGAGTAAGTTTAAAAAACACGGCTCTTTACCAATGATACCAATTTATAGATAAGTAGTATCTTTCTAAAGAGTAAATGAGTCTATTTCTCCAGCTACCTCTGGCTGTTGCTTAAAAACCCTACCACAACTTCTTCCCCATACCACTGATAGCATCCCTACAAGAGGTTAAGCACTTTCCCATTACAATTAAGAATTTATATCACAGCACCTATGTGTTCCATGTAGTCAGTGAAAACATTGCCTTTCAGCTCTGAATAATTTGGGCAAGATTTATATCCAGGAACTAAGAACAAAGGATTTTCTAACACACATTTTATTTTCTCTAAATGCAGAGTTTATCTTATTGGTGTGTTGTTCTTTTTTTTTTTTTTTTTGTGAGGAAGATCAGCCCTGAGCTAACATCCGTGCTAATCCTCCTCTTTTTGCTGAGGAAGACCGGCTCTGAGCTAACATCTATTGCCAATCCTCCTCCTTTTTTTCCCCCAAAGCCCCAGTAGATAGTTGTATGTCATAGTTGCACATCCTGCTAGTTGCTGTATGTGGGATGTGGCCTCAGCATGGCTGGAGAAGCGGTGCATTGGTGCGCGCCCGGGATCTGAACCCAGGCCGCCAGCATCGGAGTGCACGCACTTAACCGCTAAGCCACGGGCCGGCCCTGTTGTTCATTGTTAAATGGAGTTTTTGTGTTCTCTATCAAACGCTCTAAAATTTAGTTTTAGTAGATTTGTACATAACATTATATAATCTAACATTTGGGCCAAAATTCTGAATGTAATATTTTTGTCAAAAACATTTTATCTACATGGGAAAGAAGAAAGAGATGATACTCTTCTCTGAATGTTCAAACCATTTTCAAAGTCTCTTAGAACTATCATAAAGACTGACTAATAAGAAAATCCAACAAAACTATTAGATGGGAAAAAGCAATGTTTAAGATGGTGGGTTCTGGAGTAGACAGCCCTGGATTTGCTATGTGAGAAGAGTATATACATCATCAACGCTTGTCTAGCTGAGTGTTCTTGAGCGAGTCAACTTCTCTGAGCCTCAATTTCCTCATCCGTAAAACAAGAGTAATAACAGAAACTACCTCACAGGATCATCTTCATTGTGAGCATTAAATAAAACAAATACATAAAACACAGTAGCCGTTAACGTAGTAAACACTCAATAAATGTCAGATGTTGTGGTTATTATTATTTTTCATGTTTAGAAACTTAGATCACAAACACAAAGAGAAAAAGTTGTTTTGATGAATGAGCACATCCTGTGTTTTCCAGCTAAAGATACAGTACTTAAGAGGTAGATAATTCATCAATCAGGTTAAAGAATGTACATCCTAAAATTTTATGTGATGGCACTTTAAATCAGCATATTATAAACAGAAAAAAAAACTTCAGTTTTCCTGTAAAACTTTAGTGCATTTCCCCCACACCTCACTGTTTTGCCTTTCCTTTTGCCAAAGGCAACCCGCCCTTCCTGCTGTATCTATTATCAGACTCCATTCTTCTTCCTGCTTGCCACCTCTAATCATGTTTCCACTCACTAACCTCAGTTCTGATTGGATCTTTAGTCTAACTTCTGTTACAAAAGAAATGCAGCTACCAAGGTTGGTTGCCTTTTCCTGTACCTCTTCACTCCCTGACATCACAAAAGATCAACAATAAACATTATTTCTTCTGTCTCATCCACTGCCAGGGAAAAGAAAATTTGCCAAACAAATAGAATTATGCCTAGGGCCTCTGGGACCTTAATATTGCTAGAAATGACAGATCAGAGCAGCTTTAAGATGAACTACCCTCATTTCCTTCTACAGACTGAGGCAAAAGAGGAAAAAAAATTGGGTCCAAGACATGAGAGATGCTGATGGCTTGGACTTGGGTAGCTAGCACCTAACAGTGTCAGACAGATAGTAAGCATCAAATAAACATTAAATGAATGAATGATGTAATAACCATGGCAAATGAGAGAACTGAACTTATTTGGAGATATTTATAGGTAAAACTGACAAGAATTAGTGTTGGAATCAATGTTAGGAATGAAGCAGAAGGATTATTCCCAATTTTCTAGTTTGGGCAACTGAGTGGATGGTGTCTTGTCTGCTCAGGCTGCCATAACAAAATACCACAGACTGGGTAGCTTGAACAGCATTTATCTTCTCACAGTTCTAAAGGCTGTATGTCCTAGATCAAGGTGCTAGCAGGGTCGGTTTCTGGTGAGAACTCTCTTCTTGGTTTATAGATGGCTGCCTTCTCACTGTGTCCTTGCATTGTGGGCATAGAGAGAGGAAGTGAGCTTTCCAGTCTCTTCTTATAAAGGCATTAATCCCATCATGAGGGCCCTATCCTCATGACCTCTTCCATACCTAATTAACTTCCCAAAGTCCTCACCTCCAAATACCATCGCATTGGGGGGGTGGTTAGGGTTTCAATATACCAATTTGAGGGGGAACACAATTCAGTCCATAGCAGAAGGCAGTGCCATTCACAGGATTAGGAACCCTAAAGAAAGAGTAGGTCAATGTGTGGAGTAAAGAAAAAGGAAGGAATTCAGTTTGGGATATACTGAAGATTAAGGTGTCTAAAATCTGGATCTCCCATGAGGACACTACATTAGTTATAGCCCTCTCAAGAAGTGGTTGCCTTTTCTTCCTCACTCCTCTTGCCACTGAGCCTGGAGATGGGGTAGATGTTCTTGAAGTATCCTTGCTCCTCATTCCTGTTTCCAGACCATTCTACCTCCCCCATCCAGAGAAATACCTAGGTTGACTCTCCTAAAATCAGACTAAACCACCCATTAAGCCTCTTTGTTAGAGTAGTCTTCCCAACTCCAGGTCATTCTCCCTTATTTCTTGAGTATTTTAACTCCTGGATCATTGTCACTCTCTGCAACACTATTTCTGTCATAACGTTTGGTGATTTTAATATCTACACAGATGACCCTTACAATACTCTGGCCTCTCAGATCCTTGAGTTCCTCTCCTCCAGTGATCTTGTTCTTCACCATCTTTTAAGCACCTCCTTCCAGGGTCATACCCTTACCTTTGTCATTGCAACGTCTGCAACCCCTGCATAGTATTTATTTGAGGGTTTTTTTTCATAATATTTGTTCTGCTTTTTGAACTTTTGTATTTTAATACACCTTATTAAGGTATAATTTACATAAAATAAGATGCACCTATTTTAAGTGCACAATCCAAAGACTTTTGAAAAATGTATAAACACATGTAACCACCACCCCAATCAAAATATAAAATATTTCCATCACTTTAGAAAATTCCCTTGTGTCTCTTTGCAGTCAATCTTCCCCAGTCTACCCTGCTACTCCCCTGCCAGGCAATCACTGATTTGCTTTCTGTCAAAATACATTGATTTGTATTTTCTAGAATTTTCTATAGATTGAATTATACAGTAGGTACTCTTTTTTGGTCTGGCTTCTTTCACTCACCATAATTATTTTGAGATTTGCCTATATTGTGTGCAACAATAGCTCGTTTCTTTTTATTGCTAAAGTATTCCATTGCATGGATGTACAATGTTTATCCATTCACCCATTGAAGGACATTTGGGTTGTTTCCAGTTTTTGGCTATTGTGAATAAAGTTGCTATAAACATTTGTTTGCAAGTCTTTCTATGGCCATATGCTTTCATTTCTCTTGGGTAAATATCTAGGATTAGAATTGCTGGGCCATATGGTAGGTGCATTTTTAACTTTGACAAACTCTTTAGAAAGCAGTTGTACCATTTTATAATCCCAACAACAGTGTATCAGTTCCAATTGCTCCACATTCCTGCCAATACTTGATATGGTCAGTCTTTTTAATTTCAGCTATTCTAATGTGTGTGTAATGGTATCTCATTGTGGTTTTAACTTACATTTCCCTGTTGACTAATGATGTTGAGCATCTTTTCATGTCCTTAATTACCATCTGTATATCTTTTATGTAGTGTTTAAATCTCTTACCAATTTTTAAGTTGGGAAGTTTGTTACTGAGTTCTAAGAGTTCTTTATTCATATATTTCATATATTTTAGATACAAGACGTTTTTTATTTTCTTGTCAGTTCTTTTGAAAAGCAGAAGATTTTAGCTTTGATGTCGCCCAATTTATTGAATTTTCCTCTTCTCTCCCTCACTCTCTGAATCCCAGCCACACTGACCTTCTTTCAGTTCCTTATGTATGCCATGCTCAAACCTGTTGCAAGGTCTTTGTATATGCTATTCCCTCTGTTTAGAATGCCCTCTTCATGCCCATTCACCTAGTTAACTCTTACTTATCCTTTGAACTCAGTTCAAATGCCTCTTTTTCAGGAAAGGTCTTCCCTGACAAACCCCATATAGATTGCATTTTTCTGTTACACACTCTCATACCACGCATGTCCTTCCTTCAAAGAATTTATCTCGGTTTAAAGCTGAGAGTTAATCTGGGGGACTATTTTTTATTTTAATATGTTTTTCATAGATATAATGTCTGGTCTATGTTAAATACATGATTATTTGCTCAGTAAATATTTATTGGGAGAGTGGATGAATGAGTGAAGAATAGAGGGTCCACAGGTAAACTCAAGTATATATAAAACTTCAAAGCAGAAAAGTGCTGTTTTTCATCAGTAGGAGAAAGATGGATTTTTAAATGAATGGTTTTAAGACAACTATTAACTATTTGTAAAAAAAAAAAAAAAAGAAAGAAAGAAAGAAAGAAAGAAAAATACTAAAGCTGGAGTCCCAATACACTTCTTATGCCAAAATAAATTCTAAACAGATGAAACAAATGCAAAAATGAAACCATAAAGTTACTAGAAGAAAACACAAGAGAACATCTTTATAGCAAAACAAAATAAGAAAGTAATTTTTTTATAATCTTGGTGTATATAATGGCTGTGTAAGCAGATCAGAAAAACCAGACTGCACAGAAGAAAAGAATGTGATAGATTTTATGTAAAATTTGTCTTACTTAAGACATGTTTTTCTGTAATGTGTATTAAAAAGAGTTAATATCTTTAGTAAACAAGTAATTTTTCCAAATCAATAAGGAAAAAGTCGTCACCTTAATTGAAAAATGTAAAATTGTCATGAACAAACAGTTCACAAAATAAGGAAATCAAATGGCCAATGAACATATGGAAAATATCTTTCAGAAAGGAAACTTGGCAGGATCTATCAAAATAGAAAATACACATACTCTCTTTACTCAGCACTCATTTTAAGAAGTAACTCTAAAGAGGATAATCTCAGAAGTGGAACAAGTTTTATGCCCAGAAATATTTGTTGCTGAAGTACTTAGAGTAGCAAAAATTTTGGAATATCTGAAATGTCCATTAATAGGAAATGTATATGTTATATAAATTCTGGTAATATATAAAATTTATTATTAGTAGTAGTACTCATCACACTTGTAATTTTGCAAACAATGAGATTATTTGATTCATTATCTCTCTCTATCCACAGATGGTAGAATCCATGGGATTAAGGACGTCTAACTTTGTCTCTAGCAACTAGCTCTTTTCCCAGTAGGCACTCAATACATACTTGTTGAGCAAATGAATGAAAGAGGTCTTTCTTCATCTTAATAGGCTGGAAGTGATGGGGAGAGTATTGGAAACTGTCCCTTTTGCCAACGCCTTTTTATGATCCTCTGGCTTAAAGGAGTTAAATTCAATGTGACTACTGTTGACATGACCAGGTAAGAGAAAGCATGACATGTTTCATTCTGGGGATTGAAATTGGTAGACACTAATACAATGTTGGTGTTTGTATAATGTGTACTTTATCTAGAGGCCTAACTCTGCTTATTTTCAATAATCATAGAAAGCCCGAAGAGCTGAAGGACTTAGCTCCAGGTATCAATCCTCCCTTCCTGGTGTATAACAAGGAGTTGAAAACAGACTTCATTAAAATTGAGGAGTTTCTAGAGCAGACACTGGCTCCTCCAAGGTACAGCATTTAACAGGATATTATTGTTCTTGAGATAATCTATTTTATTGGGCTATTTATTGCAGATTGACAATTCTTCTAAACATCTATTTTTCAATGTTAGACCTCTCTTTTGCTATCTTTCTAGAAAAGTTTGAAAAGATCCTTCTTGATCACTTCATATATTATTAGAAAACTTTGCTACAGAATTATTTATTTAATATATGTAAAACTATTAAAACTTTATGAGCTGTAGGTAGAATATTAGGGAAGGGAAAAGGATAGACTTGTAAACCTGGGAAACGCAGGTAAATTTGAGCCACATTTAATTTCAGTCACATTATCTGATCCATAATGAAGTTTGGGGGCATTTATACTGATAGAAATCAGACATTTTATTGTAGAGCCCTCAGAAGGTCTTCAATTTTGAAATAGCCTTTAATTCAGTCTGATTGCTTAGCTTTGCAGGTTGGGAAATATTACATCTACTATGCATAAACTTCCCCCTTAAACTTCAAATACACAAAGACAATAGATAGGACATTTCAAATTATTTTTTTAAATATATACCATAGTTGAAATAAGAAAGTAAGTTCTCTGTGGTCTAGAAATAGAGAAAGAACCTATAGTGGGGTAGGAGTGAGGGTGCAGGGTAATAACACTGTATAGCCCATGAGGACTGGTCAGGACTAGGCCTTCACATCACTGATGGCATGAGGGAAGAACATACCCAACACAAGAGCTAGAGGCCAGGAAACGTGTCTCACACAGTTAGCCAGAGCCCAGAACTGCGCTGTCTACACTTGAATGACAGCTGTATATCTCTGCCCACCCAGGATAGTATCTGGAAACAAGAAGCCTGCTGTACTCATTTTTTTTTTTTATTGCCGTGCAACAAATTACCACAAACTCAGTGTCTTAAAATGACATTCATTTATTATCTCACAGTGATCATCGGTCAGGAGTTTGGCTGTGAACTTAAAACTGCTCTAAAAAATAAAGTCTTGAGCCAGCCCTGATGGCCTAGTGGTTAAAGTTTGGTGGTCTCACTACCTCAGCAGCCCGGGTTTGTTTCCCGGTTGCGGAACCACACCACTCATGTGTCAGTTGCCATGCTGTGGTGGCAGCTCACATAGAAGAACTAGAAGGACTTACAACTAGGATATACAACCATGCCCTGGGGCAAGTCTTAATCATAAAATATGTATATAAAGGATAAATGACCATTTCTATCAGTCCATAGTTCTTCCTCCATAAGAAACTAGGGATACTATTCTAGATTCTCTTCTGTGTGCCATACTAGGTTTCTTTCATCCATTATTGATGACTTCTTAGATTTTAAGCACCTGCTCCAAGTTTGTCCTATAAGTATTGAGTCTTATTTTGTTCTTTTCTTATCCTCCTCTACTACTTCCTCCCCTTACACCATCTGCTCCCCAACCTTTTCTTGCTCCCCAAAAAAATCTATTGTGAAAAAATCTATTGTGTATCTTTCCATTCCTTTTTCTATGTTCATATAAGCATAACAACAGGAAGCATAATTTATAAATATTGCATCTTGCTTACCTCACTTCAAACAACATTGTTAAAATCCTTAAACTCTTCTAGGGTAGATTTAACTCATTATTTTAATGGCTGCATAATAATCCATGTCACAGATGTGCTACAAGTTGCTAAACTATTCCTCTACTGATGTACATTCCCTTTCCTTCCAGTTTTTTACCACTACAAACAGTGCTATAAATAACATCCTTGCTCGTGTGTCCTTATATACTGGTGTTTTTATTCCTATGGAATAGATTCCCTGGAGTAAAATTCAAATGGTATATATCTTTTAAAATTTTTACTGCCTTACCCATCAATGTATGAGAGTACACTTTTCCCACATATCTGTCATACTATGTGTTACCACTCTTTTTAAATTTGTGCCGATCTAATGGGAGTAGTGATATCTCATTGATCCTTTAATTTGCATTTCCCTGAATAATAGGTGAATTTGAGCACCTTTACATGTGTTGGTTGATCATTTGGTTTTGTTCTGTGAATCATTTTGTCAAATCCTACTGATTTTCTATTAGCTTATGTATCGGTTAAGGTTGCATTCAACTCTGGTAACTAGAGATCCAAAAAGTAGTGACTTAAGTAAATATAGGTTTTATTTTTCTCATATAATAAGAATCCAAGAATGAGGCATTGTAGGGCTGGAATGACAGCGCCATAATTTCACTGGGGATGCAGGTTCTTTCTAATCTTTCTTCTTTGCCATCCTTCAGGCGAAGCTTCCAGTCTCAAAGTTAACTCATGGTGACAATATTTCTGCTAGAATTCCAGGCAACAGATCTAACTCCCACATAAGAAGAAGAAGGGCAAAGGACAAAAGATGCAAGCCAGCTTTAATGAACTTTCACAGAAGCCACATTTAACAATTTCCATTTATAACTCATTATCCAGAAGTAATTCACAAGGTCATATCTAAGTACAAAGCGTAGCTAGGTAATGTAGTTTTTATCCAGTAAATATCTATATGTATATTACCACCTCTAACAAAATAAGGCTCAGTTAATAGAAAGAAAGAAACAGAAAAAGAAAATGGTACATAACTGTGTTATCTGCCATAGTCTGCCCTTCTAATCATCCAAGTAAATGTGTGCATCCTTCTTCCCATACATGGAACACACTTACTCCCAAGAGAGATAACTTCCAAGTCTCATACAGTTACTGCATCCAGCTCAAAGTCCAGGATTTTTGGATGATGTGCAACATCTCAATTAGATACTAATGGTCAAGCAATCAAACAAAATAAAAGACAAGTTCTCTCCACGCACTCCTTGACACATCCAGTATTCAATGGTGGAGCAGAAATTGGATAATTGGAATAAAAACTTCCATTTTAAAAAGGGAATATAGGGTAACACACACCAATCATTCATTCATAACAGTTACCATTGTTGGAGAAACAGCTGAAAGATTGTTTTTAAGTTTTGGTGTTACAAACAAAGCTAAAATCAACTTTCTTTTTACAAGGCTCTCCAGAGAAGTTATTTAGTCTGCCATATTGTTAGATGTGGGATCCCTTCCATATAAATGTGGTTTTATCTAAATTTTTAAAACCTGTTAGATACTCCATCAATGAAAATGGTGGAATAGAGAACTCCAAACTCCATCCCTCCATAAAAGCAATGAATATCCTGGTAAAAACTGTAAGAATCAACTTTTCCATAACTCTGGTGGACTTCTGAAGGATTGACTGAAGGGTCTGCCTTTTTTTCACCTACTTTGGAGCTTCCCCAGGCATTTGTGAGGCAGCTTCCCTAGTGGCATTCATGGAAGTTATTTAAAGGCAAATGTATTAGCCACTTCCACATGGGGCAATAACACTTGGGGAAAGCAATAGACAAACTTAAAATCTTGGGAAGTAAGAGGCTGGGATACTTGGGGGATACTTAGAGGAATAAGGGCTTTAAAAAGCATTCATGTATTCTAGGAAATCTAGAAGTCCACGCACATGTGCACATTGACTTATGCTCAGAAAAAGACTTGAGAAGACCCTAAGCTCTCACTTCTGGTTGAGCTTCAGGCACCATGCAAGCAGAAAGGGAAGGCTAAGGCAGAACTGCAAACTGCCTACCTAAGCATTGAAGGAGTGCCCCAACACAGAGCCAGCCTGCAAAGACTGGGAGAGCTTTTTTTTTCCTGGTTTCTTTGTTTTGGTTCTAAGAGTTTAAGGAAATCTCTGTCAAATCAATAACTGACTGAAGATAATGGGACAAAGATTTTAGTAGCTGTACACAACAAGGAACACAGACTACAAAATTACTTCAGAAAATTCACTAAACAAATAAACAACACCTCCCACAATGAGCAGCAACAACAAACTCTGGGGAAGGGAAGAATCTGATTTCCAGACTTTCCACATTAAAATATTCAAGTGTCCAGTTTTCAAGAAAAAAATATGAGGCATGTCAAGAAACAAGAAAGTATGGCCCATTCATGAGAAAAAAAGAAATTAATAGAAACTGTCCCTGAGAAAATCCAGATACTTGATTTAATAGACAAAGACCTTAAATCAACTGTCTTTTAAATATGTTTAGAAAGCTAAATAAAACCATGGACAAAGAACTAAAGGAAACCAAGAAAACGGTGTCTCAACAAGGAGAGAATATCAATAAAAAGATAGAAATTCTGGAATTGAAAAGTGCAATAACTAAAATGAACAATTCACTAAAGGGTTTCAACAGCAGATTTGAACAGATAGAAGAAAGAATCAGCAAAACTGAGCATAAGTCAATTGAGATCATCCAGTCTGAGGAAAAGGAAGAAAATGAACAGAACCTAACAGATCTGTGGAATACCATCAAATGTACCAATATACATATAATGGAAGTCCAAAAAAGACAGGACAGAGAGAAAGAAGCAGAAAGAATATTTGAAGAAATAATGGCTGAAAACTTCCCAAATTTAATGAAAAACATAAATCTACACATCCAAGAAAGTTAATGAACTCCAAGTGGAATAAATTCAAAGAGATTAACACCAAGGTACATTACAATCAAATTATCTAAAGCCAAAGCCAAAGATGATAGAATCTTGAAAGTAGCAAGAAAGAAATGATTCATCAGATAGAAGGGATCCTCAATAAGACTAACAGATGATTTTTCATCAGAAATCATGGAGGCCAGAAGGCAGAGAGATGACATATTTAAAGTTCTGAAACAAAAAAAGTAATCTAGGCAGAAATAGAAGTACAATGATGTACACCAGAAATTTTTACAATGTTATAAACCAATAAAAAAAAAAAAAACAAACAACAACAAAAAAGTCAACGAATTCCACATCTGGAAAACTATCCTCCAAAAATGAAGGAGAGGTTAAGATATTCCACATGAACAAAACCAAGGGATTTTGTTGCTAGTAGACCTGCTCTACAAAACATGCTATAGGGAGTCCTTCAGGCAGAAATGAGAGGTGACTAGACAGTAACTTGAAGTCATATGAAGAAATAAGGAGCACCAGTAAAGGGAAAAAAAGCACATGATCATCTCAATTGATGCAGAAAAAGCATTTGACAAAAATCCAACACTATTTCATGATAATATTCAACAAACTAGGAATAAAAGGGAGCTTCCTCAACCTGATAAAGAACATCAATGAAAAACTCAGATAACATAACTCAATGGTGAAGGGTTGAAAACTTAAACCCTAAGATCAGCAACAAGACAAGTAGGCCATTTTTGCCACTTCTATTCCACATTGCACTGGAAGTTCTAGCAGAGCAATCATGCAATAAAAAAAACATGAAAGTCATCCAAATTGAAATGGAAGAAGTAAAACTATCTCTATTTTTCAGATGGCATGATCTTTTACGAGAAAATCCTTAAAAATCCGCTAAAATTCTATAAGAACTAATAAATGAATTCAGCACAGTTGCAGATACAAATCAACATACAAAAGCAAATTGTATGTCTATACACTATCAATGAATAATCCAAAAAGTAAATTAAGAAAGCAATTCCATTTTCAATAGTATCAAAAATAATAAAATACTTAGGAATAAATTTAACCAAGGAGGAGAAAGACTTGTACACTGAAAACTACAAACCATTGCTGAAATAATTTAAAGAAGACCTAAATAAATGGGAAGACATCTATATTAGTTTCTTAGGGATGCCATAACAAAGCGCCACAAACTGAGTCGCTTAGCCCAGAAATAAACCCACACATATATGGACATCTAATTTTCAACAAAGGAGCCAAGAACATACAATGGAGAAAGGAAAGTCTCTTCAACGAATGGTGTTGGGAAAACTGGACAGCCACATGCAAAAAAATGAAAGCAGACCATCATCTTATACCATAGACCAAAATGAACTCAAAATGGATTAAAGACTTGAATGTAAGACCTGAAACCATAAAACACCTAGAAGAGAACATAGGCAGTAAACTCTTTGACATCGGTCTTAGCAGTAACTTTTTCAATAGCATGTCTCCTCAGGCAAGGAAAACAAAAGAGAAAATAAACAAATGGGACTACATCAAAGTAAAAAGCTTCTGCACAGCAAAGGAAACCAGCAACAAAACAAGAAGACAACCTACCAATCAAGAGAAGATATTTGCAAATCATATATCCAATAAGGGGTTAATATCCAAAATATATAAAGAACTCATACAACTCAACAACAAAAAACAAGCAACTCCATCAAAAAATGGGCAGAGGATATGAACAGAGATTTTTCCAAAGAAGATATACAGATGGCCAACAGGCACATAAAATGATGTTCAACATCACTAATTATTAGGGAAATGCAAATCAAAACTACAATAAGATATCACCTCACACCGTCAGAATGGCAATAATTAAAAGGACAAGACAAGAAATAAGTGTTGGAGAGAATGTGCAGAAAAGGGAACTCTCATACACTGCTGGTGGGAGTGCAAACTAGTGCAGCCACTATGGAAGACAGTATGGAGAGTCTTCAAAAAGTTAATAATAGAACTACCATACGATCCAGCTATTCCACTTCTGAGTATTTATCCAAAGAACAAAACACGCATGCATAAAGACATATGCACCCCTATGTTCATTGCAGCATTATTCTCTTAATAATACTACATTGTGTGTATATATATATATATATATACACACACACACACCACATCTAAGTGTTTTGTTTTCATTTTTTCATATTGGTTCTATACCTTTTGTATCAAATTGTTTCTAAATATTTTATACTTTTGTCACTATTATAAATGGATTATGCTGTAATATCCATTTCTATCTGGTTATTGCTAGCATAGAAAAGTTATTTTTTTTAATGTTTGACTTGTATTTAGTCACCTTGCCAAAATAGCTCATTAATTCTAGTAATTTTTTCCTATACTTTCTTGGGTTTTCTAAGTATACAATTATATTGTTGCTTCTCTTCCAATAATTATACTGATTGCTTTATGTTATTGCCTTCCTCCAATTGCTAGAACCTCAAAAACAGTGAATAAAATGGGCAAAAACTCTCTGCCCTAGTAGAATTTACATTCTAGCTGTGGAAGACAGTAAATAAGCAAGATAAAAAGAAAAACACAAACTATTTTAGATAATGATAAAAACCAAGAAAAAATAAAGCAAGGGAGGGATAACCCCTAACATAGTGGGTGTTAGGGACAGGGGAGAGTTTGCAATGTTAGATAGGGTGGCCAGAGAAAGGCCTCACTTGGAGGAGATATCAGAAAAAAGATCTGAAAGAAGAGGGGGAGCAGGCCACATGCATATATGAGGGAAAGCACTCCATTTAAGGGCAGACCAACTGAAACAGCCCTGGGGCGAGAGCTTGGCTGGCCTATTTGAACAAAAACAAGGTCAGTATTGAGTGAAATGAGTGAGGAAGAGAGTAGGAGGAGATGAGAGTGAGGAGGTAAGGTGGAGTCGGATCACATTGGGCTCTGAGTATGAATGAGATGGCCACAGTGCAGGGTAATGAGTAGGGAGAGACATAATATGACTTATATTTTAACACTATTGCTCTGGCAGCAAGTGGAGAATAGTCGGGGAGTGTGGGGGACAAGCATGGAAGTGGAGAGAATAGTCAAGAAGCCGTTGCAGTAATATAGGGCTTTGGACCACACAGTGGGCAGTGGAGGTGGTGAGAAGTGGACAGATTCTGGGTACATTTTGAAAAGTAAGCTGGCTGGAGTTGCCAATAGATCAAATGAGAGGATGGAGAGAAAGAAGGGAATCAAGGAAGATGACTGTTTGGTCTGACCATTTCTAGTTGCTGGTGGTGTTTTTTATGAATAGGAATTGATTTCCACTGAATACTTTTCCTGCATCTACTCATTATCATATGGTTTTCCTTTTTAATTTGCTAGTGTGATGAATTAAATTATTACATTATTTTATTTTATTATACTAAATGAACTTTGTATTACTAAGAGGAGGACATCTTGGCTACTTTTATTCATCCTCTCCATACTCTTTATTCCTTCATTTGTTTTATGAGTTACAATATTTAAAGTCATATTTTTTCCTACTACTTATCTTTGAAAATGTATTACCACCATATGTTCTGCCAAATAGGCTTTTAGGAGCAACTATGGGGACCTAACTACCATTTGAAACATTGTTTCTACAGGTAAATGAGCTCTAAACTCCAGACAGCTGATTTCCCAGTGAACTTTAGAAACTAAAGTATTCTGAGATTGGGGAAAATACATATTTCCAATGAGAGATTTCTCAGGACCTTCAGTTTCCAGCACAATTTTCCAAAACTTCCATTCTCAGTAGAGTGCAAGCTGGGACACCTTGTCTCTGTCTTGTTATGTGTGAATGATAGTGCAGTGATGTTTCTTTTCAAGGTATCCTCACCTGAGTCCCAAGAACAAGGAGTCCTTTGATGTGGGCTGTAACCTCTTTGCCAAGTTTTCTGCATACATTAAGAATACACAAAAGGAGGCAAATAAGAGTAAGATATCTTTTTTTAAATCTCTGTTTTTCTCACTCGCTCACTCTCACATTCTCAACCCAGATAAAATAGGATTTTCCTGAATATATAGTGTATGTTGGGGAATACCCTTCCTCTCATTCTCTGCTCTCTCCTCTGAAATTCCCTTGCATGAAGTTTTATTAGATTTAGAACCCAAGATTCAATTTAGCAATTACCAATTTAGCTCAATTAGAGCATTGACTTTCCAGGTGTGAACTAACTGCAGGACTGTATTTCTTAGCCCCTCAACTTTCCCAGTCCTGTGTACCTTTAAGATTTCTTAAATCATAGTACTACCATCTCCCACAAACATTCTTGAATAGGTTTAATATCCTCTGAATCATGAGAGCTATTAGTCTCTGATTCTACTTTCTGACTCTTCTGTGTTGAATGATAACATGCATCACTTTTCTTTCTTTCTTTGACTCTCCTCCCAACGCACCTCCTCAAGAAAAGTCCAAAAATATTTCCACTCACCATTTGATTAACATCTGACTCTGTCTTATCAGTGGGTAGCTGAGCGTTCTAGTTAACTATTTAGATTTTGAAGAGCCAGTGTAAGCAATGTGTATAGATAAAGATGTCCAAATGTGTGAAAAGCATATTGAGAATGTATTTAGTCATGAAGACAATACATTTATAAGTAACCCTATGACTTCATTGCCTCAGATTTTGAAAAATCTATGCTCAGAGAATTCAAGCGTCTGGATGACTACTTAAACACCCCACTTCTGGATGAAATTGATCCAGACACTGCTGAGGAACTCACAGTTTCCAGAAGATTGTTCTTGGATGGAGATCAGCTGACACTGGCTGACTGCAGCTTATTACCCAAACTGAACATTATTAAAGTAAGTCTTTATAGGGTAGGCTGAATGGTTTGTGAGGGGTTTTGGAGTTGTTAGCACAAAGCACAGTGACCATCCAGTACGAGGTTGTTATATGATGGCTTTTGTCATCATCATCATGCACAGTGTATGTCTCCTTTTTCTCCTCAGAGGAAAAATCCATAATCATCTCCTCTGGGAAGCATAAAAACTTCTTGTTTCCTTCTTCCTAAATCAGAAGGTATTTTCTACTGTCTTGTCTATAAAACAAGGGTAATATTACCTATTTCACAGAGTGGTTTAGAAAATTAAATAAATTAAGGCATTATAAGTGATCGTGTGGGCTATTAATATTATTGTGATAATTTAATCATTAATTTAACAAATTCTTATTGAACAGAACTTATTCTTTCTCAGGTCCTATGTGTCTACATGTCTATGCCAGACACAGAGATTACATAAAGAAATAAGACATAGTCAGGACCCTAAACAAATTCTTAGTCTAGTGGGGAGATATGTGCTCTTTTTCTGTGCTTCCTTCTTCTAAACATATTCATAATTAAATACAGCATAAATGTAAATATGATTACAAGCATATAGCTTTGTTTACATTTGTAGGCAAAATATTAAAGTAATAAATCCTAAATTCTTTAAGTTTATTTTGTAGTACTTTTTGTGTAGATAACATGTCCTCAATGATCTTGACGTTTGAGATATGTTTCTACACACTAGGCATGTTAATGTTGCCTCTTAATACCAACTACGTTTTTCTCTTTTTTTCCCTAAAACTTAGGTTGCTGCCAAGAAATACCGTGACTTTGACATTCCAGCAGAATTCTCAGGCGTCTGGCGCTATCTACACAATGCCTATGCCCGTGAAGAATTTACCCACACATGTCCTGAAGACAAAGAAATTGAAAATACCTATGCAAATGTGGCTAAACAGAAGAGTTAGGACAGCTCTTTCGGTAGAAAAAGCTCTCTTTTCACTTGTTATCATATTAGAAAGGTTTTTGGAAATAAGAATATGGGAAACATTGTTTCCTCTATCCAACTCTATTACGAAAGAGAGCACTATATTATCTGTATCTAGTTAGTCAAAACTATCTGCCCACTGTGTATTTTAAAAGTCTTAATATTGTCACTTCATTTTCTTTATTCCCATGGCATAACCACCACAATCTTAAAGACATGGAAAGCATCAAGATCTTTTGCTATATGATTGAGTTCCTAGACTGCATCATGTGTAAGCTCAACAGATGGCTGAAGTTACAAATGACATAAGTAGAGCCACAATCTCAAACTGTTCCTTAGAAACATTTCCATCTAAATCATTAAAACAATTTTACATTTTTCTTAGTTTAATACATACATGAATTTATTTCTGATGTGAATAATGAAATCAGAGAGTGAGCATATCAGAGAGGCAAATCCTTAAAAAATGATTTAAAAAGATCAGCTCTAGGAAGAGATCAAGACCAACTGGTTTTAGCATGGCAATCAAGACCTAGAAATATGACTGCCTCATAGTCAGAGATGCGAATATGATGTTTATGAGCAGATTATATTGTCAAATGAGCAAGCATTCATTGGATAACACATAATAATATTTTTTTTAAAAAATCAGAAGCAAATACATGGCAAAGTTGCAAAGTAAATTGGATCTTTTATTCAATAGAAATAAGAAGGAAACCAAGAAATTTGACCAACCAAAAGGTCTTGTTGCTGTCCATAAAAGGATAAGGCACACCATCCTTAGAGGATAATCACAAAGCTTTCTACAGATTTTAAAATGTTCCATTACTATATATACTCAAATTTACATGTTAAAGTACAATCAAGTCACTCAAATCTGAAAACAAAAGCTGAACTGAATTCTTGGTCCTTCAAAGGAGAAACAAAGTTCAGCCTCAAAAAAGGAAGAGAATGTTACAGGCTTTAGGGGAAGGATGGAGTTTAGATAATTTTTTTTTAAAGTAAGGCAATGAGTAAAGAGTTAACAGGCATAGAAAGGGCTCAAAGTCCTGTCCTTGGAAACCACAGAGTTAAAATAAATGTGGTGTCTCCTCTTTGCTGGAAGCCCCCTGAAGTGAGAAATTGCACCTGGCCTAGATGGTGGGGTTGTGGATTTTCTGAACAGCTCAGATCCTTTCAATGTCACTGATGTGATTTCCAAGAGTAAAGTTTTTTAAGATCTATGATTTTAAAGAACAAAGCTTCTCAGTACCATGCCCTAAAACTCATTAATAGAAGCAGTTTTTACAGATTACACCATACTTAAAGTGCATTCATGTCACCATAAAGCTTCAGCATATAGCAAGATGGACAGTTGTGACAATTCAATTTAGTAACTACCTATTGAGTAGTTACTGTTGTTATTATTATTTAGTTATTTAATCATCACAACAACCCTATGAAGTATGTAAAAAAATTCTGCCTCATGCCAGAGGAACAGTCCCTGCTCTCACAAAATACACAATTCAATAATGGAGACAGGCAATTAGACATGCAATTACAATACATACGTGTTATGAAAAGAATACGCATAAGGTTATATAACAGAAGTATATCCTCATGTGTTCCCCCAGCCTGACCTCAAACAAGTTCCACCTCGTCACATAGCCTTTGCATAGCACGACCTCTGTGAAAGATGTGTTTTTATGAGCAGGTGAATATAGACCTGACACATATTTTTTCCAACCCGGAAAGACACATGACTCCAAGGTGGGGTCCTGGATAAACCTAGCACCAGCAACTTCTTCCCCTGATGTAAATTACCCAAGATGGGAAAGGGAATTTTTACCCTTTAGGATCATATTTTTAAAAAATAAAAAGGAAAATTTTTCTTATTATGAAAGCATTACATGTTGGTGCAAAAATAGATGGTAGTGGTATTCCAAACATGATAGAGAGATGTATGAAAACTTACTATCTGATAAGGTGGCATTTCTGATCAGTGGTGAAACACTAGAACACAATTCAGGCAAGTTCTTTGCCACTTTATAACAAGGATGGCTTTTCCTCCAGTTCCCAATAACATGTTTCTCATTTCCATGTGAGATCTCACTAGAACGGCCTTTACCATCCATATTTCTACCAACATTCAGCATATGATTATTTCTCTAAGAAGATAAAACTTTTCTCTATAGCTCTCCTCTTTTCTTTCTGAGCCTTCACTAGAATTACCTCTAACGTCCGTATTTCTAGCATGCACCTCAAAACTCTTCTAGCTTCTATCCATTACCCATTTAAAAAGTTGCTTCCACATGTTTAGGTATTTGTTATGGCAGCACCCCACTTCTCGGTACCAAAATCTGTCTTAGTGTGCTCAAGCAGCCATAACAAAATACCATAAACTGTGTAGCTTCAACAACAGACATTTATTTACATAGTTTTATTTTACATAGAGAAATACATTTATTTTTCATAGTTCTGGAGGCCAGAAGTCTGAGATCAGAGTGGCAGCATGATCAGGTTGTAGCGAGAACTCTCTTCCTGGCTTGCAGACAGCTGCCTTCTTGCTGTGTCTTCACATGGTGGAGAGAGGAAGTAAGCTGTCTGTTGTCTCTTCTTATACGGGCACTAATCCCATCATGGGAGCTCCACCCTCCTGACCTCATCTAACCCTAATTATCTCCCAAAGGCCTCATCTCCAGATACAGTCACATTGGGGGTTAACATTTAAATATATGAATTTGGGGGAGGGACACACAATTCAGTCCATAGCAGTAAGACATCAAGGTGTCCTACAATGTGCATGTGTCCCACACCTATAGATCACCTCTGCTGTTCCTGGGGCTCATTTTACTCCAGATTCTGCCAACTACGCCAAATTGTGGTGAAAAGAAAATACTCCACAGAATCAGAATTTTAAAACAAGACTGCTATTTATAAGAAAGAAGGAGGTAAGTGTATACCAGCCAGTGTCTGGGGATAGGCTTTCTTTTATACAAGTTACAAGCTGAGCCCACTTCCAAGATCTGCTTTGTGATCAGTAGGGGTGGAAGGGCCTTGAGACACTCAGGTAAGGAAAACAATATCTTGTGAATTCAGCAGAGTAGGGGATGGTGGATCTGATTTTCATAAGTTAGGAAACTTCAAAAAGACTATTTGATAAGACATCCAGGTTGCCGAAGACAGTGGTGCCTGCCTTGGTCTGTATCTTCCAATATTTCCTCCAAAAACAGTACGGAATAATAAGAACAAATTTTAAAAAGAACTAAAACCATATGGTAAGCATAACTTGAAGACAGATAAATCCCCAAACCTCACTATAACTGTAAGTTTAAAAAGAGAAAAAAAAAAAAAAAACAAATCCTAGCAAATACTCTCTCACATTCACGCTTCACCACAAATTTTTGTGGTGTAGTGAGCAAGGGTGGGCTGAGAAAAACTATAGGGAATAATGGAGCTAGTCATGGGCCTAAAGTTGATCTAAAATCATTGACAGAAAGAATAAGTCCACCCTAAGTATGAAAATATTTTTTAAGTGCCCTGGTAGACCAAGTAACAGCAAAGTAACTTAAAAGTATGCACAATTTGAAGTATCAATCTTCAAAAGACATGGTTTCTAGGGAAGAAATAAAAGGTACAAAATAACTAAGAAGCAACTTTTGGTAATTGGGTGTTGAAGGGAAAAAAAAGTAAAAGGAGAACATGTAGGGTCCTACAAGAAAAAAGAGAATCAAAAAAGATAAGAGAAACACAACTCCTCCCTTCACTATCAAAAAATAATAAAGGCTCTGGAATTGGGTACACTGGCAGAAGGTGGTGTGCCTTTAAACTAAGAATATTATAAACCATCACAAATCCACAAAAGGACTAGAACACACCTCAATAAATCTATACATAGTTATTACCAAAAAATCAGGAAACAAGATTCAGCACACCTCAACTGATAAAACATCCCATTTCAGAAATCAACTATGAAGCAGGAAAAAAAAACTGCAAGACAACATTGCAAACCGAATTAGGTATCTGCAAACAAATACTTGGGGATATGAAAAAAAATCACCTTGATTCAGACTTTCAATCAAGAAAAATCAAGAAAAAATAAAGAGAAAATTGATCAAACTAAAAAAATAAATGAAGAAAGAGACAAAATTATCCGAGAAGTGAAGATAAATTAAAAGCTTCCCAAGGGAAAACAGACTCAAGAAAATTTAATAAGGTGCATTCAAAAAGGCAGAAAAATAACTGAGAGAATGAAAATGAAATAAAGAAGGAAATAAAAAGGATCAGAAAGAAGTTGGTGAACTGAAAGAGAAGCAAAGAAGGAATAGCAGGTTTTCTATAAAGCAAATTTCTTATTTGTTTTTTGTGAGGAAGATCAGCCCTGAGCTAACATCCGTGCTAATCCTCCTTTTTTTGCTGAGGAAGACCAACTCTTGAGCTAACATTTATTGCCAATTCTCCTCCTTTCTTTTTTTTCCCCCAAAGCCCCAGTAGATAGTTGTATGTCATAGTTGCACATCCTTCTAGTTGCTGTATGTGGGACGCTGCCTCAGCATGGCCGGAGGAGCGGTGCGTTGGTGTGCGCCCGGGATCCGAACTTGGGCCGCCAGTAGCGGAGCGTGCGCACTTAACCTCTAAGCCACGGGGCTGGCCCCGGAATAGCAGTTTTATAATTGAAATCACTGGGAAAGAAAAGCAAAATAATAAAACAATGGAACAGAACTAATATTTAAAAGATTTAAAACTATAATCCAAGAAAATTTTCCAAAGTTAAAGACCTCAGTCTACACATTGCAAGGTCCCACTGGGTTCTTGGGAAAATTAACCAAAATGATCAACTCCAAGATATATCCTAGTAAAACTATTACACATGAAAGATAAAGAAAATATATCCTCAAGTCCTCTAGGCAAAAAAAAAACAATCAAAAAATTTATGAAGGCAGATGAATTAATCTGGCATCAGCCTTTCCAAAAACTACATACAAAGCAAGACAACAGTGATGCAGTATTTTCAAGAAATTCAAGGAAAGAAAGTGTGAACCAAGGATTTTATATACTGTGAAGCTGGTCTTCAAATATCAATGTTATAGAAAAAGAAAAAGTTTTAAACACACCAGAACTTAGAAAATTCTGGACCAGTGTGCC